TTTTTTTTTTGCTCGCTATTCTGAATTTGTTGTGTACAAAGTGAAATATCACCTCACCCGCTTGTTCACTCCTTTATTTGTATTTTACCTTATAATTGACAAAAGAGTTTCAGTGTGGCTCGGTCTGAAGTACTTAACCGATAACCACCATTCCATTTAAAAACCTGATAACGATGGTTTCCTCTTGCAAAAATTACTTGACAAGTTTTGGAAAGGGTAGCATTGGTTGTGTTAGCATCAAATTACCATTGAAAGAAGTCATAGAAAGCTTGTTTTCCTCACTGGATGATTAAAACTATCAATATGAGCCCAGGAAGAGGGACTCCAATGAGAATAATCTGAGTACCACTGATTGGAGTTGGTCAGCGCCATGCTATAAATTTTGATGCTACCGTGCGCCATCGATGTGAAGCTCTTAATTTTGATGTTTTACTCCTGCTTTTTTTAAATGTATCCACGCTCTTCTGAGTGAGAAAGCCATCGACAGCCTTGTCAGCAGGTGATTGCTTGTGACATTTACTACCTCAAGTTGCTTCCGACTGCCACCGTCTCTTACGGAGTGCGAATACGAAAAGGGAATTCTCACTTTTGACAAACAAGACGTAACTATGCGTCAAAGTGTATGATACTGGGCAATCATGACGTTTAAATTACGTCTTTTTAATGTTATAATTTAAAGTCGTCCAGAACATCGATGTAAAGTGCTCAGTAGCAAACCTATCTGCATTCCACGTTTGCCGTCTTATTGCATTTTGCAAGTTATACATTAAAGTGATATTAAAACTACAAAAGTATGTTGAATTTCAAAGAGGCGGCGAGTACAGCTGTAGGCATAAAACTTAGGATGGAAGCGCCTAACACAGTTAGGCCTAACATTTGGACGAATTTCTATAATATCATAATTTTACGGCGGTGCGCTTTGATAATTACAATGTTAATGAAACAATGAGCGCAAAAGGATAACCCAAATCGGTCGATGAGCGTAATTTTTGCTGAGCCCTGTCTATCGCTGGCATAACAAGAGTGAACAAATATATCGTAAGAATTGTTTCCTGAAATTTGTGAAATAACATTTCAACGTATAAATTACCGCCCAATCAATGTTTCCAACTTGAAATTACTTACAAAATACGCTAGTATTATCAGTATGTAGCCTTTCGCTCGCACTGAATTTCATTAGTGAAAGGTGTAGCATCTTTTTCCGGCCTGGACGGTTTGCTTTCACTGGTATACTCACTCAGTCTATGACGTGCTTACACCATCTGATGCCCAACATTTGCTGTGAAGCGGTATGGCCTATCTCTCTTACCACGAATTACACTTTCTCTAGGGATTTTGAATGGTATCCTGCACAAATTCCGTATACTGGGATCTAGGAATTTCAATGTGTATATAACTTACTGTGACACACAGACAGTCGAGGGAACGCGATGCGTCTAGCATTCCTCTCCCGACAAAAAAAAGCAAGAAAACAAACACTCCAAAGCATTACTGGGATTGACCACCAGCTTAAGTCAAAGTAGCCATTATGAGTGGTCCACACAGCATGGGCTCGCATATACCGAACAAGCAGGGATGTGCAGCTTCTCCGAATCGAATGGTCCGGCATTGATGCTGCTGGCTTCTAGGAACAAATGTCCGAATAACTCTCTAATATGGAATGTAGACCCACGCCAACTTGCTTCGCCAGGTATTTCAATATTGTTCCTTTTTATGCTAATTATCGCAATCGTATTTGATGAATTTTAAGATTCAAAATAAAAGCTTCACTGGTAGTATTAGTTGGTCTGGTTCGCACCACCAGTGTAATGTTTTCACCAATACGAACTGGCCGATTTACTGTACTACCGAACGGAGCCCCATCTGCATGTTGTATTTCCATATACACGGTATTATAATCAGAAGCTGTGCGATTTGGCTGCGGTGACTGAGTTGCAAAAATCCGGACTGATTCCATAGGCTCCGTCCTGAAACAACTTTTTTATCTGATCAAGATTCAATGCTCGAATTTCATTTGCAGCAAAGAGTGTATTAATACAGTAAATCTCCGGAATGAGAAATTGACGCTGAAAAAATGACAGGAGTGTGAATGATAGGAGCATATTTGCGTATTTTTGTAAATCAAATTTGGTCAGTAGAGGAAAATTGCGAAAAATTGAGATGAAGTGGACAAAATTTAGTCAAATAGAGCACCAGAAAAGTAGCTAAAGTAGTGTATTCAAGGAACCCTCCAACATGTCGCAAACCCGCTAAAGTGAGAAGTGAATAAAAGAATAAAAAAATTGCTTCACGGGGTTACACATCAACTAGAACAGTAGCACGAAGTACGAACTTCACAGACCATTCGTTGCTGGTATTTGTCTGCATAAGTGCTGTTTTTGTTCCCAGTGTTGCTGTTGTTGCGAGTAGCGATGATGTAGCATGTTCGGGTGCTTTCGCTTTCAGATACAGGGGAACAAATATTTCATTACGCCAGGATTTGGTTTCTTCTAGTACTTTCCGTGAAACATCCACATCTTTTCTGGATACTTCAGCAGTTGTGCTAAAGTCTGCAGTACCATTTGCGGTGCTAGGAGTAGCCATAGTAGCATTAGTTGCAATAGTAACTACAGTAGTGGAAGCCGTATCTGTTTTCTCTGTTGTTGTGAGTATTTCCAAAAGCCAATTTTCGATTTTTCCTTCGGAACTTGCCGAAATCTTAAGCCCAACAGTATGTGGAGTGGAGAATCTGGATGTGTCGGTGATCGGATAAATAGGCCAATTGCCCCAGTTGTCTTCAATTGCTCTACCAGATTCCAGGAATCGTGATTCTTGCTTCACCTGAGAATCATTTATGGTAGCTTTCAGTTCATCATCGTTTTTGAATGAACTGTAGTTTGGCACCATCTTGGGCCACAAGTACGTCTGTTCCATTGAGGACGATGACTGTGCCTGCAAAGTACCTTTGAATATAAAAAGTGTTAGGATTCAATGAACTTATGAACTTAATTTATTCTTGGCATTTTTAAATGCCAAGATGCCAAGACTGCACATAGCCAAGATTTTTTTCTTGCGATAAGCATCAGTTGTCTGTTTCGATAAAGGAAGAAGTTTTTCGGCAGAATAAATAATCTCTTTCTTTTTTATCTGAAAGAGAGAGACCAAAAATAGAGATGAATAGCGAAATTTCTAGTGCTTCAATAATCAGAAGAGAAGCGCGACGACGAAACAACTGATCCAAAGTATCAAAGAAGATAAAATTTTAAAAGCTGATAAACACCAAAATGACTGAAACTATGAACAGCATAATAAATAAAACAGCAAAATTGATAAAAAGAGCTTTTCTCTCAGACAATTTTGACGACTAGAATGTAGAAGTCCGCAGCGCGCTTTTCACTGTTTGACAAAATTTTCGTAGTTCAAAGAATGGTTACAACTTACTGTTAGTGCTTTATCGTTCAGTATTTGACTTACTGAATTGTATAACGGTGCCGCAAGCTGACAAGTGAACATGAACTGCCGATCGAGCTGAGTTTGCGCATCTTTCTCCATTTGTATATAAACACGATTTTCAACCATGTCTATCACCTGACTCAATTTACTTTTTACCATAATTGCCCGAGCAATCAAGTGTTCTATCAGGAAATCAACCGAACTGATAATCTTTTCAACATGGGAAACGAACGTCAAGATCCTCAGTAAAATAACCATCAGACGGTGCAGCATTGTTCAAAGTAACAAGAAAAATCTGATCAACTCGTCATAAAACAGATTGACAGCTCAAACAATAGTCATTCCTGGAACAGCTGTTAGTTCATTTTAATTCACGTCCAAGGCATAACTACTGCTTGAACTGTCAGCATTTTAGTCGCCGCTGTCACTGAGATGCATGCAGTTACAGAGTCTAGCCATGCTTGGCTTGTACACACTGAACTGTTTGTGACTTTACCCTTTATATCAATGAATTTTTGAAAAAATTCCGACTTTTTCAGGATGGAACTGAGAAGTTACATTTTGAGTTAAAGAACAGTGCTCATTCCCCGACTAGTACCATTATTCTAATGAAGCATGCTAAGTCAGTGGTTCCAGTGGTGAAGAAGTTCAAAGTGTAATTTGATCGGAAAGTTTGAAAACTGATTTTTGCTTCACAGTGCAGTATTCGGTCGAGAACCAGTTCCCCTATTAGCTTAATAATTTATTTCCGAAACCAAATTATTTTGCTCAGTCGTCTTCACCTTGAAGAATTTCAAAAACAGTCGATTCCTGTGGCGGAAGGGACGGGAAGGGATTGGGGTCCACGAATGTGCTCATGTGCCGATTATGAAAAAACATGAAAACTGACATTTCTAGTATTCCGGGATATTCGCGTACCGCATTTGTTGTGCGGTATAGCAAATGTAATACTACGTATAGATGCATGTGCATCATGATAAACACATTCCGGAATTGTGGAATATTGAAAAGAGTAGATTTTACCACAAAATGACTGCTTGAAATCGATGTGGGCCGTGATGCCACCTTCCGTGCATAATGCATTCACTGCTGAAATAAAATTTTCAAATCAAATTTTTCTTCAAGACAAATATTCAGACGATGCCTTTTTAGGAGACGTTATCTTAACCAATTTTTAGTCAAAGTATTCTCGGGAATAAATCACCAGTCAGCTAAACTTTAAGAGTGTGGCACACAATGAACAGGCGATGAGTACTTACTGGAGATATGCAGCTCAGGATCGAACAACCCAATAGCTGCTGCCAGCGTGCCGAAGCATCCTAGTCATATCTCTAACATGGGGCATCCATATCGATCACTCGGGTTATTGTCGGGAAGACTTACAGGAAAACTTTTTGCGTAAACATATTTTTAACAGATCTTGAACAGTTTGAAACAAGATTTCACATGATTAGATTTTCAACTCTTTTTTTTTGGGTTCTGGCAGAATCAGGCTCAAAGTATGTCAAAACTTACATGTTATTGTTTGCTCATCAGAAGCAGAATTAGCAGTTAGAATGATTAAAATAATAATGCGCCACATCACGAACTGAATGCCATTCGAAAAGTTGGATGACAAATTTTTGCGCGAAATTTACATTTCTGCAATGAAAAATTAACGAATGCGATTGTGGGCCAGCTAGCTCACACCTTCTTAGGGTTGCATGGATGCAGCAAGGTGGATTTACAAGGATGTAGCAAGATCAGCCTCTGGCAGATTGTTTCCATTTCTGAAGCTGCTGCATTAGTCGCTGAGTAATATCGCTGACCATTTCAGCAAACAAAAAACAGTCACAAAGATGCCAGCGTCTTTCCCGCTTCCGTCTAAATTTAATTTTAGCTAAAAATGACAGTCCATTCATATAGTTCACTCACCGGCAACAATCTTTGGAGTTAAAAGGACGGGTAGAGAGAGAAAGCGAATGGTGATGATGGGAGAGTGAAAGTAGACTGATGAACATGCGATGACCGGAAGCACGCTGACCTCATCAAACGTTAGTTTGCTGTAGCGTGAGAGATGCTGACGGTGACAACAAAACTATTATCTTCCGAATCCCTTGCTTCTGCCAGTATAAATTGCAGATTTTAATGAAAAAATTGATTGCCGAAATGACCTTGATCAATGCCACTGCATCATTTGGTACACTTCATTATTTGATTTTCGCATCAGGTTAACAAGGACTGAAAGCAAATGTCGTCAGCCGAATAGAATTTTCGCATCAGGTTAATAAGGACTGAAAGCAAATGTCGTCAGCCGAATAGAACTGGCCACTCCAGTGATATGTGAGAATTTGGTGAACAAAAGAAGAGCAGGAAAAGAGGCCGAGAGGCAAGAAGTACTATCTTCCGAAATATCGAAAGTTGTAACTTCGGACACTTTACAGTAAAATACTTCAAAATGCGGAAGCCAGCCAAGCCTGGACTTTATTTGCTTAGAAAAGTCTCGAAAAAACTTTTTTCATTGTTCTAGCTCAGCTGTTACTAACTTTTAATGCGTTTATGCACAAATCTATAAAAACGCATTATGGTGTGTGTTCGAGGAGTCGATTAAATAATATTTTTAACGCTTTTTATGCGTTTTTGCTGTGCAGCGCTATAGCGCTGCTACAGCCAGCAAAAACGCATATTGT